AATACTTTGATCAGAGATGACAAGTGCTGATCAGCCAATGATCAGCCAATGCTCAGTCTATTGTCAGTCAATGGTCAGACTTGTTCTCTAAAAATAAAAAGGCTTTGTTCATTTCATGAAGGGAAATAACTTTTCACACACATAGACAGAACAGTCCATTGCCATTAACCTTGTGGCAAACGTTATGAGGTTTTTAAAATTTTCAGGAAGGTATGAAAATAAACCAGATATCCCCATTTCAAGACACTTTGCCCTGAGTGTAGCATCTGACTGTAACTGTAATGCTCATAATTCCATCTGCATGTTTTTCTTTGAGCGACGGCCGCTTATCTAGTTAAACAAATTTTTTTTTTTCGTCCTTTAAATCACACAATTCCAGTTACCTTGGTGCGGGATACAAGTGAGCTTGCCAAGGGCCGCATGTTGCCCGCGGGCCGCATGTTTGACACGCCTTTCTTTCACGATTTGAATTTGAGAAACGCTCATCAGTTTCCCTGTAAATTGAAGAAGGAGAATTTAAATTTTTAAATTATTTTTTTTCCAGATAAAAATGCGAATTATTCAAAAATGTGTCAAAGGCTATACCGGTATCATAGATGTGAATTTCAAGCTTGTCTGTAAACAGCTTAAACAGTTTGCAACATGAAGTAAAAGAAGAATGAGGCTTAATTTATGAACAAATTACAGGAAGTTTATATCTCTATAAATACATTGACTGTGAATACTTGAGGATGTAATTTCTCACTTCAAAGAGCATAGGGTATACCGTAAAATAGAAATAACCATAAAAATATCCAATAAAAACTAGAGAAAGTAGAGGGGAAAAACCAAACTGGGGAATAAAACAGTTGATGGTGGCTGGTGAAGAGGCCGTGCTCTGAATAATAACAACTGAGAGAAGCGTTGTGTGGAGAGAGAATGTGTTCATTGGGTTGATGAAATCAAGAGTTTTTCTCTGTGCTTTTGGTTTAGAATGGGGTGGGAGTGGGGGGGGGGTCACCTGAGGATATGTTTAGAATCTTTCTATGAGCCCATAAGGATATATAGAAGATAACTAACAGATTGTTTCCATAAGCTCCTGTCATTGTGTTGCTCATGGCATTGTGCTGCCCATGGCATTTTGGTACCCTTGTCATGATGCCGACCATGTCGCTATGCTGCGCAAGTAACTATGCTGTCCAAGTCACCATGCTGTCCAAGTCACCATGCTGTCCAAGTCACCATGCTGTCCAAGTCACTGCTGACCATGTCATTATGCTGCCCATGACGCTATGCTGCCCATGTCGCTATGCTGCCTATGTCGCTATGCTGCCCATGTCGCTATGCTGCCCATGTCGCTATGCTGCCCATGTCGCTATGCTGCCCATGTCGCTATGCTTCCCATGTCGCTATGCTTCCCATGTCGCTATGCTTCCCATGTCGCTATGCTGCCCATGTCGCTATGCTGCCCATGTCGCTATGCTGCCCATGTCGCTATGCTTCCCATGTCGCTATGCTTCCCATGACGCTATGCTTCCCATGTCGCTATGCTTCCCATGTCGCTATGCTTCCCATGTCGCTATGCTGCCCATGTCGCTATGCTGCCCATGTCGCTATGCTGCCCATGTCGCTATGCTTCCCATGTCGCTATGCTTCCCATGTCGCTATGCTTCCCATGTCGCTATGCTTCCCATGTCGCTATGCTGCCCATGTCGCTATGCTGCCCATGTCGCTATGCCGCCCATGTCGCTATGCCGCCCATGTCGCTATGCTGCCCATGACGCAATGCTGCCCATGTCGCTATGCTGCCCATGTCGCTATGCTGCCCATGCTGCTGTTCATCGCATGTTTCTATGCTGCCTATGTCAAAATGCTGTCCAATTCAATTGCTGCCCAAGTCACTATGCTGTCCAAATCCCTATGCTGCACATGTTGCTATGCTGCCTATGTCACTATGGTGCTTATTCATTCTGGCAGCCTCTGTTATAACTATTTGCTCCAGTCAATATTTTGCCACTGTCATATTACGATGGCCATGTCATTATATGGTGCCAATGTCATTATATGGTGCCCCTTTTATGATGTGGTGCCACTATCATTATATGGTGCCACTGTCATTATATGGTACCAATGGCATTATATGGTGGCCTTGTCATGATATGGTGCTTCTATCATTATATGGTTTCACTGTCACTACATGGTGCCTATGACATTATATGGTGCCCCCGTCATTATATGGTGCCACTGTCATTATACGGTACTACTGTCATTATATGGTGCCACTGTCATGATATGGTTCCCCTGTCATTATATGGTGCCACTGTTGGAGATCTGATTGGACGCCCTCGAATTCATCGTCCAGTCAGTGGACACGTGAACACATTCGAGCGGCTTTTCACTATTTGGGTAACTCGCATTATCAAAACCGCTGTAGATTAATTTCTGGCTTACGTTTCTATGGCAGACACTTAATGATGGCAAGTTCCTGCCATGAGCAGGTGGCTATGATGTAGGGCATGACGTTCATCAACGGTCGCCGTCTCAGACTTGATCGATGGACGGACGCCCCCTTGGCCCAGGTGAAGACTCACTGACCAGACACCACTTCATCATTTCCTGAAAACTCTGCACTTTACCTAATGTGGGTGACCGTCTCGTAGATTTACGTTACGTCGGTAAGATGACCCGCGTAGACAGTGCGGTCACGTAGAGACGGATCCAGACCAAAAAAATTTTTAAAAAGGGAGGTTCACAAGAACTAGGTTGGGAGTAAGGGGTGGGCGGGGGGGGGATCCTACCTCAAGAATTTGATGTATTTATTTGAAACTAGGAGATATCTAGATCAAATCTATATTTAAAAACAAACACTTCATCCAACAGGAAAAAAGCAAACAATCCAACATACAAAACAACAAACAATACAACAACCAATACAACAACCAATACAACAACCAATACAACAACCAATACAACAACCAATACAACAACCAATACAGCAACCAATACAACAACCAATACAGCAACCATTAAGAGCGCACATCACTACGACAGTGAGACTGAAATCACTGGGCGTTAGCTTTCCTATTGTTGTGTGCAGTGAAGTGAGATTATATTTGTTGTATTTATATTTCAAAGAATCGACCTGAATCTGTCTTTCTCTTAGATTTTTTAAATTAAAAGAGATCTCATTGGGGTTTTAAAATAACATTATCAACTATCACCATTGTATGATTATAACATAAACAACTAGCACCATTGTTGTAGGGTTATAACATAAGCAACTAGCACCATTGTTGTAGGGTTATAACATAAGCAACTAGCACCATTGTTGTATGGTTATAACATAAACAACTAGCACCATTGTTGTAGGGTTATAACATAAACAACTAGCACCATTGTTGTAGGGTTATAACATAAACAACTAGCACCATTGTTGTAGGGTTATAACATAAGCAACTAGCACCATTGTTGTATGATTATAACATAAGCAACTAGCACCATTGTTGTATGATTATAACATAAGCAACTAGCACCATTGTTGTATGATTATAACATAAGCAACTAGCACCATTGTATGGTTATAACATAAGCAACTAGCACCATTGTTGTATGATTATAACATAAGCAACTAGCACCATTGTTGTATGATTATAACATAAGCAACTAGCACCATTGTATGATTATAACATAAGTAACTAGCACCATTGTTGTATGGTTATAACATAAGCAACTAGCACCATTGTATGATTATAACATAAGCAACTAGCACCATTGTTGTATGGTTATAACATAATCAACTAGCACCATTGTTGTATGATTATAACATAAGCAACTAGCACCATTGTATGATTATAACATAAGCAACTAGCACCATTGTTGTATGATTATAACATAAGCAACTAGCACCATTGTTGTATGATTATAACATAAGCAACTAGCACCATTGTATGGTTATAACATAAGCAACTAGCACCATTGTTGTATGATTATAACATAAGCAACTAGCACCATTGTTGTATGATTATAACATAAGCAACTAGCACCATTGTATGATTATAACATAAGTAACTAGCACCATTGTTGTATGGTTATAACATAAGCAACTAGCACCATTGTATGATTATAACATAAGCAACTAGCACCATTGTTGTATGGTTATAACATAATCAACTAGCACCATTGTTGTATGATTATAACATAAGCAACTAGCACCATTGTATGATTATAACATAAGCAACTAGCACCATTGTTGTATGATTATAACATAAGCAACTAGCACCATTGTTGTATGATTATAACATAAGCAACTAGCACCATTGTATGATTATAACATAAGCAACTAGCACCATTGTTGTATGATTATAACATAAGCAACTAGCACCATTGTTAAAGGGTTATAACATAAGCAACTAGCACCATTGTTGTATGGTTACATCAATTTAAAAAAAATAATCAAATTTATAGCTTTTTAAAACGCCAATTTGTTTCTTTTCAGATTTCTTCTGTATCACCCCGGGTGCCATGAAGTAGGGCGCCATAACCCGCCCCCCCCCCTTGCATCTACGACCTGTGCTATATACATTTCTTCCAATCCCTTCCCTTGCGGTATCCCATCCCAGCATGCACGGCCACAATGCGCCCCTGAGATGAAGGAAGGCGAGACCGCCGACCCCGATGAAAGCCGCCACTCTGATGGATCAGCCAGTGGCGTGACTAGAAGGGAGCATGCGCAGCTATGCCCGGCATCTGCCCCAGTCGCTGACGGGACAAGCGTGACCTCTGAGCTGATACATGGCGGACATGGAGTCGACCAGGTGGTTGAAGTTCGCGAGAGCTTCACGTTCTCAAAACAACGTGTGGGGAAGATCGAGGATGCAGCAATGAATGAAAAATCGCCGAGGGATTCTGGGATTGAGAATGGCGAACACCATCCTGTAGATCCGGAGGGTTCACAGTGTTCGAGTACAGGAGGTCGCGGGAGGATCAAAACCAGGAAGGGGACGGGTGGAGGAGATTTGAGGGGAAGAACGGGACGATACGATCTTGTCAAGGACGGCGAGAGTGGCGGCGAGAGCGACGGTCTCAGTGTGGAGCTCGAGGATGGGGACAGCAATTTCGACAGCGACGACGAGTGCAGCAGCATTAGTGTTAGTGGGTCCGAGGACAGCGACGACGCCGCCCCTGATTCTCAGCACAACGGCGGTGACCAACTGCCACCGCTCGACGACCACGACGGTCCCTCACAACGCTACCTCCCCACTCCTGGTCGCGGCCTCGACCAGGTCAATCCTTCAGCATACGACACCCAGCCGGCGGGGCACTGTGGTGTCAGCAATGTCCGGTTGACATCCTACAAAGTTAACCACCCACCCGACATCACAGACATTGATACCATCAGCCAGGCCCATGTTAGCGACGCACCTGTACATCTGACGTCACAAGATAGAGCCCACGAGCCCAGCCCGGATAGGGCAACCACGCAAGACCTCGCCTCGAAAGTCTACTCATATCCCTACAACAGCCAAATGCAGCTGAGCCGTTCCCTCAGAACGCTTCACCGGGATCCGAATGAGAACGCTTCCTCTCAACCAAGCCAAGAGGTGTCGCGCCTAACGCCGTCCTCACTGTTCCTGGGCGGGAACTCTCTCAACCAGAGCTGGGTGGCTAGAATCAACAAAAGTCTGTCCGCCCAGACGCACCCGGAAACCATTTCCGCGGATCCGTCGAAACGGAAGAGTAACGGTCAAATTGTTCCGAGACCGATGAAACACTTCGGCGAAAGCTTCAACAAATTCGTCCAAGCCAAACTGACGAAGACCTTTTCTGACAACAGGCACAACAGACACCACCTGGACGCGCCCCGTGACGATGGCAAGCGGGGCTCCTTGCCCCGGGCGGAGAGTCAGTTCACCAGGAACGAGAGCTACAAGCGCGCGTGCTCCAGCATCGAAACGTTTACGTTGGTGGAGGAGGACCCCGGGGAACACGTCACAGCTGCAGACGACCTTCCGGTACTCATCCCCGGTTTACGACCGGCGGAGACACTTGGTCAAACCACGAGCCCTCTGGTTGGTCAAACCACGAGCCCTCTGGTTGGTCAAACCACGAGCCCCCTGGTTGGTCAAGCCACGAGCCCTCTGGTTGATCAAACTACGAGCCCTCTGGTTGGTCAAACCACGAGCCCCCTGGTTGGTCAAACCACGAGCCCTCTGGTTGGTCAAACCACGAGCCCTCTGGTTGGTCAAACCACGAGCCCCCTGGTTGGTCAAACCATGAGCCCCCTGGTTGAGTCAGATGCCACTGTAGGTGCGACACTCGAACACATTCAAGACCAGATTTCGGAAGATTTGGATTTACTTATCACTGAGACTTGCCAGGATGAATGTCGAAATCTGGATACGGGGCCAAATGAATCTAAATCCAAAAGTTGCACGAACTTTGAACCCATGGAGGAGGGTTCTGTCTCAGATGGACACACTGACATGGAGCATGAACCAGAACCTCGCAAGCATAAGGTTCAGTTTTCATTTCCCGATCATTTGAGCTCCCATCAGACCGGGACACGAGAACCGCCGCCTACATTATTGGAGACCCCTGTGTCTGAGGACGTGGTGTTTGTTGACGTCGCTTCCAATGTTAGGAAAGTGCAATTCGTGGATAACCGGACGTTCGGGGAAGACCGGACGTTCGTGGATGACCGGAGGTTAGTGGATGCCCGGACGTTCTTGGATGACCGGAGGAAGAGTTTACCGAATTTCCAAGAGGATAACGACTCTAGTGAGGAGGATGATTATATTCCGTCATCGCACCTGTCCAGGAAACCAGCCGTGAGACGTAAAGGATATACCTTTGTCAGCAAGGTAGGTGTTTGTCAATGAGATAGGTGTGTTATTATGTGTGTACGTTTGTCAATGAGATATGTGTTATTGTGTGTGTACGTTTGTCAGTGAGATAGGTGTGTTATTATGTGTTTACGTTTGTCAATGAGATAGGTGTGTTATTCTGTAAGTACTTTTATCTATGAGATCGTTGTTTTATAATGTGTGTACGTTGTCAATGAGATATGTGTATTATTATGTGTATGTAGGTTTGTCAATGAGATAGGTGTGTTATTATGTGTGTACATTGGTCAGTGAGATAGGTGTGCTCTAATGTGTGCATTTTTGTCAATGAGATGGGTGTGTTCTAATGTGTATACGTTTGTCAATGAGATGGGTGTGCTCTAATGTGTGCACGTTTGTCAATGAGATGGGTGTGCTCTAATGTGTGCACGTTTGTCAATGAGATGGGTGTGCTCTAATGTGTATGCGTTTGTCAATGAGATGGGTGTGCTCTAATGTGTGCACGTTTGTCAATGAGATGGGTGTGCTCTAATGTGTGCACGTTTGTCAATGAGATAGGTGTGCTCTAATGTGTGCACGTTTGTCAATGAGATGGGTGTGCTCTAATGTGTGCACGTTTGTCAATGAGATGGGTGTGCTCTAATGTGTGCACGTTTGTCAATGAGATGGGTGTGCTCTAATGTGTATACGTTTGTCAATGAGATGGGTGTGCTCTAATGTGTGCACGTTTGTCAATGAGATGGGTGTGCTCTAATGTGTGCACGTTTTAAGCAGGTGTGTACGTGACCATGTTGTTTTGTTTCACTCCGTCCGTGTTGATGAGATTTAGCGATTTTAAAAAAAAATTTTTTTTACAGTGTTATTATGTGTACTAAAAGTAGGTTTGGTCAAATTGTCTTTTGTGTGGGAACACTGTTAGTCCTTAGGATAAGAGCTGTTGTTATTGTGGGTGTGTGTGTCGGTGTGTGTGTGTGTGGGTGTGTTAACACTTCGGGATCGGTGCTGTGAGTCAAGCAAGAGTTTAGTGTGACGTGTTATTAAGCTGTGGGAAATAATCTCCAACACTCTTCCCACACGTCATTTAACCATTATCATTAAAGAGGGTTTTGAATTCAAGCCATTCGTGGTTTTGGTAACCATTCGTTTTCATCATAAATCTGTTAGTCAGTTGTGGATATTTGTAATACATGCTTATTGTAATTTAATACTATATTTATTTCTTAAAACTCCCGACAATTGTTCAAGTGTTGCTGCTAGTTAACAAATATACTTAAGGCGTGAGTCGGAAATGAAATAAATGAAACTTGGCCAGTAGCCAGTAGCCAGTAGCTAGTAGCCAGTAGCTAGTAGCCAGTAGCTAGTAGCCAGTAGCTAGTAGGTGGATTCAAGTGTCTTAAACGTGTCGCTTGTGATTGTGGCGTAACCCGAATGCTGCACCTTCTTTTCAATCGCAGGGGGTTTTTAGGCAACGGGAGGAAACCAAGTTCTCCTTTTAATGGTTTTGTCCCTTTGTTAACAACGCTCTCTGCATACAAATAATAAGATGAACTCGTTTCCTCTTTGATTCACTCCGAATATTTCACTTGATAAGCTGGGTACGAAAAGAAAACGACACTGAACAAATCTATTTTTTTGGGGCCGCTGTTCGATCTCAGCAGAAACTAAAGGCTTGCAATTCAGTGGTTTCTTTCGCGTACCACTGGTCATACTTTTGGTGGAAGTTCCCCTTGCCATCAGGAATCTGATAAACTTCCCCCGCCCCCGATATTCCTTATTAGTGTGCGCATTTTTCTGTGTGCTAACCAGTGGGTCTGTGAGCATGTTTAAGAGTGCACCAAGAACAAATAATCAATTTTAAAAAAAAAAAAAAAATCCTTTTATTCTTGCATAACCATGGTACCAAGAACAAATAATCAATTTTAAAAAAAAAAAAAAATCCTTTTATTCTTGCATAACCATGGGAATTTGTCTTAATTGGGGTTTAAAAGGGGGGGGGGTGAATACTATATACATTATACATATTATTGTATGTCATTGCAAAGATAGCACCATCCCCCTTACCCTCTCCCCCCTACACACGCACACACCAACAAACACCGTGTTTGGACCAAGTCATCCGACTTATTGTAGTAAGATGTTCTATGACGTCATTAGCATGGGACGGGTCAGGAAGTCACCCCGGGAAGCAGTGCTACATATAGATACAAACTCCAAGTTGGATTGGACTCACAGTTCAGAAACCAACATGGCTTGGCTTGACCTGCTTGTGTTAGCCATATACTTTTTATAGTACTAATTAGTTGGGTTTTTTTTATCTTTAAACTATTTTTAGAGTAAACTTCTTAATTAAGAATTGATTTTTCAAAAAAAAAAAAAAATCTTTGCATCACAAAAAAGCACTAATAGCATAATTTTAAATGTTGATCGCATGGAAAAAAAAACCAAAAAAAACCAACAAAAACAACAACAAAAACAACAACAAAAACAACAACAAAAACAACAACAAAAACAAAAACAACCATACCTGTACTAATGACCTTTTCTAAATTGCTCCAAATTTGACCAGGGTCAAAAAAGAAGAGAAAAAAAAACTGTGTTATAGAAATGTCAATATATGTTTATGTTTTTTTTAAAAAAAACTTTCCTTTTTTTTATCAATCATATATGAAGGGCAAAACNTTAATTAAGAATTGATTTTTCAAAAAAAAAAAAAAAATCTTTGCATCACAGAAAAGCACTACTAGCATAATTTTAAATGTTGATCGCATGGAAAAAACAACCAAAAAAAACCAACAAAAACAACAACAAAAACAACAACAAAAACAACAACAAAAACAACAACAAAAACAAAAACAACCATACCTGTACTAATGACCTTTTCTAAATTGCTCCAAATTTGACCAGGGTCAAAAAAGAAGAGAAAAAAAAACTGTGTTATAGAAATGTCAATATATGTTTATGTTTTTTTTAAAAAAAACTTTCCTTTTTTTTATCAATCATATATGAAGGGCAAAACTATTTTAAGAAGGCATGAGATGTTTACAAAAGACATCATGCATTTATTAATGAGTGATTTTATCTGAGGGAATTCGTATAGCTCTAAAATATAAAATTTACAATATTCCGTTTATGGTAATGATGATTAGGAATTTGAAACTACTAAAACTTTTTTCAGATAAATTACAAATTATCTCCTCGATATACTTGAACACATTTTTTTTTTGGTACCAAATCTACAGCATTTAGTTTTAAATTTACGATTCAGAAAGAAATTTTTTTTTTTTTTTTGTTCTAAAGGAAGTACAAAATATTTTTCAATTTTTAGAATGGAATTGGCATAAAAATCGAAACGCTAATGCAAAAAAAAATGTTCTCCCCCCTCCCTCCCTTTTCCACCCCTGCCTTTTCCATCCCCCCACCCCCTTCTCTCTCTCTCTCTCTACTCGATTCTCACCTAAACAAGTTAATAAACTAAAAACGCTTGCAAATCGGTGAGTCAGATTGTTATATTATTCTATTACAAAAAGATCAAGGCAGTTGGGAGTTAAATAAAGACAGGCTCAGGATTTTGTTTTAAACTCTGTTCTTCGGGAAACTTTGTTACAAAAGTAGCACAGATGAAGAGAACACACACGCTTTCGATGTAATAATAGTTGATGAAATGTCCACCCACTACTTGTATGCGTCCGAAAAATTCTTACCTCAAAGCATTATGAAAGATGGATGGGATCGAGAACATTTTAAAATGGTGATTATCATAACCAAGGTTTCCTCTAAGGTTTGTTGGCTCGTGTGCAAAAATCATACAGTTGTGTGCACAGTTGTACAGCATCAATTGTTGTGTGTGCAAAATTGTGCAGCCCACAAAGACAAGCACACACTTAAGTGGAAATTTGCTGCGCGCGGATACTCAGAACTGCTGCGCGGCGTCTGTGTGATAGCCGCGCGGCCGCGCAGCTTAAAGGGAACATTGATCATAACTATATTTCTTAAAACATAATTATGATGCCGTCATACTGTTTATAATTAATAAATATAATTTGCAAACAGATTGCACATGTTTGATCATAAGCAAGAACTACAATTGAAATTATAAAATAAAATGAGTAAAACAGAGTAGGGTTAAACCTGAAAAATTAAACGCAACAAAACAGCGAACGTGTCGGCA